AACCTTAGTGAATCTGTGTGATTCTGTTTTCCAATGAGAACTGGCTGAGCACACTTCGTGTAGACATCCGTGAAGGGGGCACAAGCGCTCTGTCTGGGTGTAGGGGGTGGGTGGGTGCATGGTAGTAGCAGAGAAGTCACAACTGTCTTTGCGCCTCTGAATATGCAGGCAGGAGGAAAGCTGTCAGACCAATACCCTGTCGTTCCTCAGCGTAGTCCGTGACAGCCTCATACATGGAAGGAATCTGAGGTCCTGCTGTTAGCTGGCAGCTGCTGGGCTGAGGGCATGGGGAGATGTTAATGACAATGGGCTTTTGCACATGGGAATTTTTGGTTTTTTTTCCTTTCTGGCTCCCTGCATAATTTTTTCCCCACTGTGGGCTTTTCAGCCCTGTTGTTCCACTGGTCTGAAGAATGTAGTAGTTTCATGATGAGTTTCATCCCCCCACCCCTGTGCCCTGAGACCTTTTCGGAGCTGCCAAATTCAGATTACTTGTGACCTAAATGGGATATAAACCCCATTCCCCGGAGAGGAGGAGTTGTTGCAATAAACCACAAACCAAAGCTGGAAGAGGCAGAATTCCTGGCCGGATTGAACCCCATTGCAGCTCCATTGGAGGCAGAAGTAGGAGTAACACAGGCAGAAATTAGGCACATGCAAATGGCTGGAGGGTCCTCAGTTTGCAGAACTGTGTGAGAATGGAGAGTGTACATTTGCTGTATTTTACATCAAACGTGCCTGGACTTTTGCATATATGGATTTTGTGTCTGCTTCTGTGATTCACTGCAGCTTCCTTTTCCCACTTTTATTCAGCTCGCTAAGTTTGCAGACTGCATCTGGTGGGGCTTCCTCTTTTGGGTGTGAGGTTGCTTGAAGCTCCTACTCATTTCGGTAGCGCATGCACCATGTGCTGCCATGGGCTGGAGCCAGAGCGGTGACAGGCACATGATGGGAGCTACCCCTCAGCAACTCTGGCCCCTTCCCAGATCTCCGATGGCTCCAGCCGTACCCTGCAGCTCCGCATGGAAGTGAGCCTTCTGTCACTGATGAGGCAAAGCTGGTACTTAACAGTCTCGTAAAACACCAATGGTTGCCACTGAATGGTCACAGGTTTTAAAGAATATGACTGTCCGGCAGCAGGGAAAGGGAATGGAACCTGCTGCCACAGCAGCATGATGGAATATGTTTTGAAAAGCACACATTTACTATGAAGGGCAGAGGACAGGAGGAGAAACAGGTAAATCTAAGTTAACACATGCATACTTAGGAGTGGTTGCAGTGTCCTACAGATGATGCTTCTAGAATATGAGCAGTGCAGGGAAAGTTACATTGATGACACAAGTGTTTCTTTTGAGAGACCTGAATAGTAACTTTATTTGCTGCACTGTGGCTTTCCCTGCCTGCAAGGGAGTGGAAAGTAATGTTCTGCAAAGGCTGCAGTTTCTACTAAATCCGGTCCAGCTTCCCCTGCATGCAATTAACATGGTTTTAAACAAATAATGTAGAATTAGCGCTCATTGCTTTGCCACAGAATCTCAACAACTTTCTGTTACATTACTCAACTTTAAAGGTTTGCAAAGTCTAGTAACACAAAACCACGGGCTAGTGGCCTGCATCTGTGTGGCTGTATGTACTCTACTAATATGGAAAGTACATGGAGTCAGCTCCTTCCAGACTTTATTAAGATTTGTTTGGCCACCTGTGTTTGCAAGGTCTGATTTCTTAAGCTGTCACTGCTTGAAGCAGGGGGAAATCCATATTACTTCAAACAAGCAAAACACATACTGAGCCATTTTGTGTCCAGGGTTTGTACAGAGGAATTAACAAGAATAATTGCTCTGCACATTAAGTTACAGCTTTGTAAATCCATGTTTGTGTGAGGCAGAAGTCTGCCCCGATGCTGCAGAACAAGTGGAGTCGTCCGTCTCCAGTCCTGCGGAGACGCTGTGAGCCTCTTTCGGGGTCAGCCCTTGGGCGCAGTTGCGCTCCTCTCAGTACACGGTGCACCAGTTGCTGCCTTTTTTTTCCGCCGCTGGGCATCACCCCGCCAGTGATGAGGAGAATCAGATCCACGAACCACCAGATCCCCAGTCCTCCGAGGGTTAGCAGTTTCCCCACAGCGGTCCCGGTATGGCCCAGGCAGAATCGATCCACTCCAAAGCAACCCAGGAAAAACGAGTAGAGCAGAGTGGTTATAAAATAGTGCCCAGTGTACCTGCAACGGAAGCGTTCAGTGGGGTTGTCAGGCACCCCGCCGGCCTCACCCCGTTTCTTGCGGCGGGGCTCCCTCCCGTGGGGGCCGGGAGAGGTGCAGGGGCCGGGTGAGGGGAGGGGGCCCTCCCGCCCCGGAGAACGCGGCCTACTTGACGCAGGGTCTGCTGCCCCGCAGGAAGCTCCGCGGCTCGGCGCACTCGAT